GCGGCGGCGGGCGCTCGACTGCGCCGGCCATGGGGACGCCTCGCTCTTGGACCCGCTTGAGCCCTATCCCTTCAACACTTCTCAGTGCCTGCCCTCGGAACGTGACGCAAGTCGGTAGATACCATGGGGTGCGGACAGTCGGAGCAACCACACAGTCTCGGAATTATTTTTTCTGTTTTTCTGCCATCGATAGTCGTCGTGCAGGGAAACACGATAGCTACAACTCAAGCGCGTCGACAGTGTGTTGGCTTCTATTTTCTTCTTTTTCATCACTTAAAACCAGTGCTCACATGCACAGCAATTATTGGTGAAACAAAAATAGAAATAAAGGTCCCAGTGTTTTGCCCGAACTACTGTAGACAATGTTATCAAATCTGTGCATGCGCTCCGTGCTTGCCAGCTGCTACGCGCTGTATGTGGCGGTGCGGTGTAAGGGGGCACTGTTTACGTGTCCTTCAAATCGATACCCTCTAACGCAAGACATACCGACAATTTTGGCAGCGGGGGCGGCAGCGTACTCGCACTGCCCTGAATACGGTAATCCGGGTATGTGAATATGGTACGGATGCACCTGGGAATCCACGTGTTGGCACTGCCCCTCACACGGTTGTCGGTGTGTGTGTGTGGGATAAGGCAGGGCTGCACTGGGGTCCCGACGCTTGGAAACCTCACGCTAAAACGATCACGTTTTGTTGGTTGTTTTGGTCTTCATGACATGCGTTTGAGTCCGCCAGAGGTAACGATCGGCGTCCCACACTTCCCCGCGCACCGAACGTCGGACCAACTGAAAACTAAAAAAGAGGCCTGGGAACGGTAAAATACGGTCGAAAGAGAGGAAGGACACATGAACGTATCAACAACAAACAATAACGAGTGCCCACCGATGAGTTTGTTGTCGTTGAGGATGAGCAACTCCAGGCAGAAGAGCTGTCCTAGCTCCGGAGGAATGCACCCTGAGAAAAACAACAAAACAAGAAAAACAGCACACAAGGGTACGAAAATACGAGACAAAGACTTCATAATAACGTGGCGATATTGGGGTGCAGCTCCTTTCTGTTGACGCGTTTCTCGTGATACGTTGTATAACTGGCATGTATTTCGTCGATAGGCACTTTGGGCGGGCAAAGAAACGGCGCCGTAAAATGGCTGTAACCCCGGCATCAACGTTGGTTTTGTGTGGCTCATATGCCACCGATGTCAGAGCTCGTCCCACTTACAACGTCCTGAATAGCCATGCGACCTACTGCTGGAACGTGTGCCCCGCGTTCAAACTTTCGCACTGCCATCGAAGACAACGCCAGGCCCATCAAGTCTACACAACGAAAGCTCTGAACTTTGAGCATCCCTTGGCTGTCGTTTGCGGTGGTTCAGTGAATTACCTGAAAGCTGGTTCTTCGATAGGTCCAACTTCTCCAACCAGCTCAGCATGCCCAGCTCACACGGGATGGGACCTGGGACAACAAAGTACAGTCGAGGGACCCTTTTAGTGCCGGTACGTGCACAGAGCGTTCACCGGCACTAAATCGGGCACCCGGCACTATTGCGAATAGTGCCAAAACGGCACTTTTGAGGGTCAAGATTACACAGCTGCTGCTCTGGGACAATAGTAACGGCGCAGCTAGGAACAGCTATGTAGAACGACATCGAGGCATACGGGGTGCGTATGGGCGGGCGCCAAACCCGTGTTGCATCTGGGGTCGCACGCGAAAAACGAAAAGTGCGCACTGCTATTGTGTTGAACGAACCGTTGGCCAATCCCTCATTAGTGCCGGTACCGGCACTAATGAGGTTGTGTTCGATTTATGGTGTAGCGCCCACGCTTACGGGGCCAACAAAGAACGAAATGGATCGACACTATTACTGTACTGTTGAGTGAAGTTCCAGCATGGGCGTGGGCAGAGTTGAGTTTTCTTTTTGTTGTCTTGGGGCGCTCTTTGGTTCTTCATTTTCTTCTGCACCTCACTTATTTGCTTATTTGTGTACTGTCGTCGGGACAAATTCTCTCCTGTTTGCCTGGCGCACCCGCTTCGATGTTGCAAGAAAAAAAAAATGACATGCACGACGGGCAGCGCACCGCAAAAA